CGCCGACGCCACCGTCGCCGACGCCGCTTCGCCATTTCGTCCCCGAACGACGCGACAGAGCAAGAGAAACGGAGAGACACGCACGCAGAGAGATACAGCGTTCCCGGCGATCGTTCTCGACACACGCGCCCCGGCACGAGCATCACATCGGCAGCACGAGTGTCTCAGCAGCAGTACCGAGCACACCGACCAGGGCCCGTCAAACCGCCCGTATAAGGTAATTGCACCGCATACGATCTACAACCATAATGATCTACGCGTACGAACCCCCCCCCCCCCCCCGGGGGACAAGAGTCTCCTTTACACACATTTCGTTCGGAAATCGGTAAGATCCGAGCGCACGTATCATCTCCGTGCGAGCGTGGGTGCCGTTCGATCATCGTTTTGTTTATTGTTATCACTTGTGCATATCGTCTACACGCAGTTTCGTACGCGGGGGGGGGGGGGGTGTAACCCCCACCTAGACGAAATTTTCTCCGATGTTTAGGTTAAAATTTGCGAATCTTACAAATTTGAAATATGAAGAGCTAGTGTTGAATACCTAGTATCATTGATTATAGAACAGTCTATTACACTGTTATTTAAGTCGAAATATATAAAGGATTTGCACGATTTTGTTAACAACGTAAAATGTGTTGTATTTTTACCTCGACCCCCCCCCCCCCCCCCCGAAAAAAAATCCTGTGTGCGCCACTGTCTACGCGGCATTGTAACCATCAGGTGTACATGTATGAACGCAATTAATGTGCGTGTAGCCGTATGCGTGTTTGTGTGTGTGTACGTGTACGTGTGTATGTTAGTGTGCGTATTCGCATTCGTGTGCATTCGCTCATATACGCTGACAGCGTGCTCGCGAATGCGTCGTAAATCCTGCTCGCGTTTTATCCTGCAGCCAAACGGTACTATAAATTTGAATGCGACACGTACTAGCCGGTTATCCCACGCAATAAACACAACATGCACATAATGCATTCTCTTGGATACCTGGCGCTCCTTAGGGGTGCACATCGCCGTACACGTTGCGTCCGTCGGGTGACGTTTCCATTATCATTGTTGTTGTTGTTGCTATTATGATTATCGTTCCGTTCACGTGTAATTTACAACGCGCACGTCACACGCGTGATCCCGGCTCGAAGACGTTAAACTTTGCCGATGGAATTTTTCAAAAAAAAAAAAAAAAACAATTTATTCCACGACGATGATATTACATATTCAACATGTGTCGCATCGATACGCGTCGCTTAAACGTTACACTATTTCGTATAATTATTTTCTCGGATCCGATCGAATGACTTGTTTACAAGTTACGGCTCTTAATTACCAGCTAGCCCGTCGCACCAATCCAATAAATTGAATGCAACGTGCGGTTTTGTTGATTTGACCAAAATAATTACCACGAAAGTTTTCATGGACGTGTAATATCTACTGCACGAATCCGAATGGTGTCATGAAATTCCAACCGATGAACGGTAAAAAGTTCAAAGTACTTACGCTGCGTATGGCAGGGATTTCAATTAAAATTTAATCTAAAATAATATTCAACGTTTAATGCGGTGTAAGTTTTTGAAATTAAATTAACCTTAAAACAACTTCGGTTTGGATTTGTAAGTGGTATAAATATGGTGTTATTATACTTTTAACGAGACTTGTGTAATCTTCAAATCGGTGCTATTTAAACGCTGATCCTTGAAATACATTCCAACGTAGTCATAACATTTTGTAGCTCTTTGTTAAAGTTGTTATGAAAGTTTTTGGTACACAGTAAATTTCAATCGCATTTTGATCTCAAAATATTTTGTTTATTTCATAATTCAGTACAGATATGTTTATTATTCCTGTTTAAGTCTTTAGTAATCCGAAAACGATTTTATTTTACATTACAATCGAGTCACGATAACTTAAATTATATTTGAGTTCCCTTCGAACATATTTCGATATTGACATAGTTTTATAAGTTAAATGATTTTTAATTCCACCTTTTGGATTTCAGCGATTATGGCATGATTGCACCGAAAATGAATAAATAATACATAAGAAATACTGTTTAGTCGTAAGATACCTATTCGACTGTAAAACGAATAGTTTGTTTAACAACTAAAGAAAACAATTTATTTTTCTTTATCTATACAGCGTAATTTACCGAACTATTTTACGTTCTTGCAAATTGTTTTTCAATTTTTTTTTTCTAAGCACATTTATATCTCAATAATGTTTCTAGTAATTTTGTTACCGTTTAATTTTCATTTGTTTTACCAATATGTACGTTCAAACTAAATGACATCAGTAGAATGCACGTTTCTCTTGGAATTATGTATGCTGACTTTGTTCTTATTTTGTGCTATTCATTGTCCAACGTTATAAATATAGAACTATAGAGTATCCAAAACCTTATAACATTTTATACAAATTAATAAGAAATTAAAACATTAAAACATTTCAATAGTTCAAAGATTAATTAAAGAAGCAATAATATTTTATAAGTCTAGTTGTACTTTTATTGAAAATTGATTATCATTATATTCTATATGTGGAATTTGAGCTAATATGGTTGTAATAATGAACTGTTGTAATACGTGATATTTTTAAGCGATGGTAAAAAATTTCGTAAAAAGAGATTATTAATAATTCACATATTTATTTAATGTATTGTATAAATTTATCTAAATAAATAATTGAAGTGTAATCTAAATTATTATCTTTTATTTAAATTTTATAATAGTAGAACATTAAATTATTTAGACTTATCAGATATGATTAAAATTATTCATATGTCCTCCTCACACATTAATCCGTGAGGACTTACATCTGTAAAACTGATGTAGAAACAACAAAATTATGTCACATCTTCAAACCAGATCAAAATGTTGTTCCATAATTCATACAAAATAAAAATTTGCTTTATATTTATTATAATGTGAGTCATATTTTATGCTTAAAGATTTCACGCGTCTTCCGTTATTTTTATTCGTTTCATTTTTTTTTTTTTTTTTTTTTTTTTTTTTTAATCTTCTAAATTATGATCGGTGATCATATTTAACGATATCATTGTATTTTGTCACTTATATTTAGTATAGTGAATGTATATTATTTCAGTCATAAAATAAATGAATGTAAATTAGAATAATGGTACTGCATTTTTTATGAAAAATAAAAGCTGATACACTTAAATAATACATATTGATTCTTTTTCATTATTGTGGTGTAGTATGCGCAATTTTTTAGAATAAAATATTACTTTCCCGAATAAAGAAAAATTTAAATTAATTCAAACTATATTCCAACTTAATATCAATGTCTCTCTTGTATTTTATTTTGTTCTTATGTAATAATACGCTTAAAAACTTTTTTAATAACATTTTTAAAGTTTATAAAATAGTTATGAATTACACTCAAACAATGATTGTTTAAAATAAATTATTATGTGAAAGTTTTTTTTTACGTTGACATTTCTCATCGGAGTATAATATAATTGTTATAAAACTAATGATGATTTAAAATTATTTCACCACATAGTACTCTTTTCCCATGTGATTCATTATTTGTTAGTATCATATGACGTTCTACATAAAAATATATACATATAATATATGTATGCAAGAATACGCCAAATCCGTTTGACCGGATCTCATTTTTCACAAGGGATGGAGTTCAAAGTGTTTGGTTTTCCTGACCTTTTATTTATTTTATTTTTATTTTTCTGAATCAGTTGCTGTTCAGTGAAATATGTAACATTTCCTAAAATGGAGGGAGTAAAAATTACAGGGTGCCACATAAATTATTCCAACACGGGAATAGCATAACAATAAATAACAGTCCCGGGGTGATTTGCAGCCAGTTAACATTTTAAATTTATGAAAGAAAATCCAGCTGCATGTCGACGACATTTCTACTAATTTTTAATGAAATCGTAGAACCTAATACAGGTTTGTCACGAGTACAAGGTTCTGAGACTATGTATATATGTATTTGGCTCTATTCCAGTACTGCAGACACGATAGCAACCCAATTAAGTATACAAAGTTATTGTTATTCACCATAGTTAAGTAAATAGCTATACCTCAAAATATGTATCAAGTGTTTGATAGTATTTATTATGACGCAAACACATTAAATGTTATGGGAAAGTAGAAACATATTCAATGGCTTGGGTTAAAAACATAATGTACTTAATAAAATGAGTTAAACGGTAAACATACACTATAATTGGAAGATCAATACGCAAGAGTATAATAATTAATTCGGTATTTGTACTACTATAACATCTTTAATTTATTATAATGTGTACAAATATTTAAATATTTATCCAATTAATTTCACTGGCGTATAATATACATTTGTTCAGAGCAACAACATGTAGGTCCATAACACTTAAAAAAATATCAATAAAAAAAGGAACACACTAGCATTTTAAGTTTTTAATTAAGTACAGAACTATAATATGTAATCATTAAAACTGATAAATATTTTCCATGAATGCAGTAACAGTAGTATTTTCTTTTATCCTTTTACTAAGCTCGGTGCTTGTAAAGGAAGGTATACTAAATCCCCCAACGCCACATATTACCAAAAGCTCATAGTGAATTACCTACGTTATAACTTTTTTATAACGGATATTAGGATATACTATAATATAGAGCGTTCCGAAATAGCTCTAAAGTAACTTAACGTAACCATCCTTAGACTATAAGAACACGATTAAGTTTTTTTCATAAAAATAAAAACAATTATTTACTACCTTTATATTAAATATTGAGACTATATTGAATATTATGTATTTTTATATTAGGGTATGATATGTATGGTGCTTAAGTAGTCTTATATAAATTACATTACTTATATATTATCGGACATGAATTTGCGGCGACTCAATAATGGTCATTATAATTGATCATTATAAACAAGGTCCGAAAAAAAATTATCTTAACAAATACGCGTGTTATGATAAACATATATTTATTTTCTTCAATGTTATAGATTATTATTGTAATATATTGTATATACATGTTTATTTTATACTTTTAAGCACTGTATAATAGCGGTTCTTAACCTTTTGTAGATCACGGACCCCTGAGGAAAGATTTTTAGAAATTACGAACCCCCTTACTAATTTTTTTTTCGAGTACATTTTTTTTTTTTACAAAACATCTCATGTTATTAAAACCAAAATTATAATAATTATTTTATATAATAAATTACATTAATAGACATAACAAAACA